TAAAGTGGTTCTATTAGTTTGCCAGTTCTAGGTCAGTTTTATGCTGATTTGTATGCCAAGTTCTTATATCCAAAAATCTGGCCAAATTTATAAAATAGTGCTAGCTATAATTAATTGAATTTACTATGCTTTCAGTTTCTAACACTTCTTTGATTACTTTTGAGAAATATTTGAGGTTCAGTCTAGCGATTCAATTGGTTAGTAAATTGGAGATATAATATGGCAAAACTAGCTATCCCTGTCCTAGCTCATCCTGGCGCCTAGTTATGAGTACACTGCTGCCTAGTTGCTATTTCAATACTTTGGCCTGTTTGGAGGCTATATTAGATATTATCTTGAAAGCACCTTAGATGCTATCTTGGAGGCCCAATCATAGTTTAAACGCACTTGTACTAGTTGAGGCAATAAGTGTGTTAATTTTTGAGCATCACCAAGAAATTCTCTTGTCACTATAAAAAAAATTTATTGGTAACAGCTTTTAGTGATATCTTTATATATTTTTTTTAAAGTTTCACAATGCTCAGTCATCTTCTTTTATATCTTTTCTCTTTGTCACCAAGAGTTACTAAGAAAAAGTAAAGTTCTAGGAAAAAAAATTAATTTTTTTCTATAGGTAATCTTATATATATATATTAGTGTATATATGCTTAGTATGAAGTATGTGTGCAATATATATATAATATTAGTTAGAAAAAAAATAAAAAAATAAAGAAGTCTGAATTTTCTTAATAACTCTTGGTGACATAATGACACCCATTAGAAAACTATTTAATAGTCTCTGAAATTACGAAGTTGCTATAAATTTTGTCATCAAGAGCATCACCAAAAATTTTTTATTACTAAGACTTTTTGGTGATATTTATCAAGTTGTATTATTTTTGTTTATCTCTATATTACCTACTGTTATCTGCATCGAAGCCAAGTTAGCTAGCTTTTTTCAATAGTACTGTTCTATTTTATAATATTTTCTTGCATGAATATCACAAGTACTATATTTGAAAAAAGTTAATTTACCACATTCATTGCAAGATACACATGAGAAAGAGTTTTAATAAATTTGGCATTCTTCCGGTCAGTAGCATCCTCGATTGCAAACCTCACCACTCCTGAGAATATAAGAACATTGATAAAATACCATTTTTTAATAACTATGAATAGTTGGTTTATGTATCGATTTATATATTTTAGAATTAATTTTTATTTTAAACTTTTTTTTCTGAAATATATACATTCTTTTGAACTATATATTTGTAATATAATACCATAATTCAATCTGAGCTTTCAGAGATTTTGGACACACCCACCTCATACTATTGTAAATTTAAAGCATCTGATATAGGTATATCTTTATATAAAATTCGGGATAATAGTATTAGACTAAGGCATTTTATAGATGCTAACAATGAAGATAGTATAGAAGCCATACTTACAGATCATAAAGGCCATTCCTTACATGAATTTATTGATAGAAATGAACTACTCCAGCCCATTATAGATTTTGATTTGCTACAAGAGATGTATAATGGCATCGAACCTAAGCTTACATGTAAAGAAATACTAAATACACTCAATCATGCTTTTAGAGATGTTTGTTTTGAAATATTCTCAAAGTGAAAAAAAAATAGTATTACTGTTATTAGTAGTACTAATAAGAAAAAAATATCTCTCCATATTTCTACTACTAATATGAAGCTTAAGAATATTGCTCAAATTGCAATATTTACTGAACTTGTCCATAAGAAACTTTTAGTATCTCTCCAAAAAAATAGTATTATTGACAATATAGCAAACAAACAATCATTCTTCTTGCAAATGCTAGAGACACCTAAGTTTGGCTTCTATATACAGGTAAAAAAAGCAATATATCTAAAAGATATAACTATCTTTGACTTTATGATTTACCCACCCAATGATGAATTAGAAGTTATTGACAGTCTTCTATTATATGTTCTGGAACCAAAAGTCGAAAGACACTAGAAAAAGAATAATGGTACAGATAGCGAGAGTGCTTAGGCTGAATTTGATTTCATAAAAATATTACTCAAAAAAAATTGTATTGAAGGGTATACTCTCTCATTCTCTTCAGATAATATTTTCAACTTGTTTCTATTGACACGCAACTCCCTATTATACTGTCCATTATGTAATCAAGAGTATACAAATAAAAATGCATATATTATATAGAATAAAAAATTATACAGATTTTATTGTCATTGTGCCAATCAGAGTCAAAAACCTGGAATAAGAAATTCCTTATTAAAATATACCATTAGTAAGACTATCTTGAATCAAGAAAAGAAGCTTCTGAGCCTAATGAAATTATAACAGCATAGGATTTCTGATCCAAATGACTATTTCATATAAGGAGATCTAATTGATATATGTGTATCTGGGTAAAAAATTTTTCACAATAAAGTATATGAAGTAATTCAGACAATGATTGTCTATATTTAAACAACATCAAGATTATGGGTATTTAAAATGGAAGATACAGATAGTGGTCTCTTCTTTGAAATAGCATCAAAACTGGACCTTGCCAAGTATGAAGTTTGCTTAGTTGAATTGAAAATGAAGTAGTAAAACTAATTAATTTAATAGAATGGATAGTCATCAAGAGGCTAATTCTTTATCACAATATTGATTTTCTTCCATATTTACCAAATACACTAGTGCTTAATACAAAGTTCTTTAATCTTTTTCTAGGATTCAAAGCTTAACTAGCAGATATGATTAATTCTAATATTATAAATCCTATTCTTTAGCATATAAAAAATATAATCTCTGGTGAAAATAAAGAGCTTAATAAATATTTATGATATTGGTGAGTATATTTAGTACAAAATCTAACAAAAAAGCCTGGAACAATTCCAGTATTATGTTCTTTTCTAGGTTGTGAAAAAAACATTTTAATAGATTTTATAGATAAAAAGATTTTTGGTCTAGAGCTTTTCTATAGAACTTCTAATCTCAAAAAATATTAGGACAATTCAATAGTTGTGTTCATGCTTGAAAATTAATTGTTATGAATGAGATGGGTATGTCTAGTGGGGATTGGTATAAGTATAATAATTATTTCAAATTACTTATTACAGAAGACTACTTAATAATAGAGCACAAAGGTTTTGAGCCTAAAGTAATAAAAGATTATATAGGATTTATAGTCATGAGCAATTATGATGCTCTACTTCAGATAGAAATAGGAGATCGTCATATTGTATGCTTTGATGTATCTTCTTAATGTAAGGATTTTTTTTATTTTTATATTGCCAAATTGTTGTGACAGGTGAACTTTATTAGGAGTAATATTAAATGTTATTACATTTTTATATTGTTACATGCTGCAGTATATTTCTAGATCTATGAGAGTACATCAAGCCATATGTGCACTTTTTGAGTGTCTATTTAAGTAGTCTGCCTGAAGGTTTTACACTAGATGTCATACCTATAACCCAACTAGAGAGTTACCTATTTAAACTCTCTGATATTTTCAGTCCTGCACTGTCCTGTTTGGTTCAAACCATCTCACCTCATGCTGTACTAAAGCCACCTAGGCTGGCATTCCCCCACTGACTTTACCTTTTTATAGATAAATCCTTCAAATCTAATCAACCAGTATTTACCTGAGGAAGAGCACAGTAGATGCCTCTCTAAATCCTTTTATGTCCCACACATTTCTAGATTTGGTTTAGAGATACTACACTATAGCTTTACCCGTATACTAGTGAGCCTAGTTACCCATGCTACCCATATCCTCTGCTCTTGTTAGGTTCATTTCTACCCCAGTACCCATATTCTAACTTTCTTTCTTTTCCAGATTCTTTACTGGTTTCTCTCTTGTTTTTAGCCAGCAACCCAGAAGAGTTGGTTTGCCCAGGCTTTAAACACCTTATAGTCTCCCTTCCCTTGGTACATGCTTCCAAAGCACATGTCCTTTTTCTTCAGTTGGCAATCTGGTGGTTCAGCTAGTATGTCCTTCTACTTAAGGACCTAGTCACTTGGTTTTCCAGTCTTGGTTTCCAGTTCTGAATTCAGTCTTCCTATAGCACTATTAAAAGTTTTCACTACTCCTTACTTGGGTCTTCCCAAACAGGTTTCAATTATCCCAGTTTCTTGGCATTTATATACCAAAGCTTTCATAATGAGATGGTGCAACCAAGATTACAGATTGTAGATCCAACCAATCGATGGATAATCATTACCAAACACAGGCTTAATTTTCAAAATTGTTGTCTGTAGAATTTGAACTCTAGACCTGCCACTTGAAGAGGTGACAACTAAACCACTTCACTAAGCTGCCACACCCTTTCAATATAAGGATAATATAGCATATTTCAGATATTTAGACAAAGTACTAGAGCATCCTAATATGCCAAGTGTAGTTATAGCCTATTTACTTAGTTTTGATTTTTCAAATTGGAGTCTACAAGAGATCTCATTTACTAAAATAAAAGTAAATTTAATACGTAAACAACTTTCTAATCTAATTCGATTTATAATTAATTATATTGCATCTTGGTCTGATGATAATATAGCCAAACCAAATCATATATTACTATATCAAAATTATCTTGAATGGTGTAGAGAAAATAAGGAAAAATCATTGATAATAAAGTTGCTAGAAAGAAGTTTTCTCAAATTGGAATTAAAAGTAAACAGACATGAGTAGATAGTGGAAAAAGAAAATAGCAATATATTCTTAACTACTCCAGAATCATAGCTAAGCTTTGTGAATCTGGCCTAGGTGATATCAAAGAATTTTCTGATACATCTTAATTCAACTTATCTAAAAATGAAATAGCAGACATACCCATATTCAATATACTAGAAATTATTTCTTTGAAAATAATTCTGTCTTAGGTAGAAAAGAATCTCTCTCCTAGTAATAAGAAAGTAGATAATCAGGACAATGTAACCCAAGCTCTATTTGACTATGTAGTAGAAGAAACCAAAATATCAGAATATCAGTTGCTTCAATATCTGGGACTTCTAAAACTTTTAAGATGTCAAACCTACCTGAGCTAGAAATTGATAAGCAGTTTCAAAAAGACCAGTTCAAAACTAGCAAGCTTCCTAAACCTATTGAGTCTAAAAGTAGAGTAGTATCTAATATACCTTTTAAAGAAGCTGATTCTCTCAAGCCTAATAATGAAGTACAATTTGCCATACTTCTATCTAGAGCTAAGCATGAAGAGCACCTTAGAAAATGAGCAATTAAACTTGGTAAGAATCTAGACATTTTTATAACTATTACAAAAAAAGACAGGCTCGATTTCATTGTATTTTGAGATAGAATGGAAACTAATACACAAATGTGTAGTTATACAAAAGAGGTAGAAGAAGACCCTAAAAAATATATAGACATGTTAGTGCAAGAGAAATTAATAGAAGAAGAAATAATCTGTCATAATCTTAAGAATAAAGGAATTACATCCTTATAGCTTGATACTGATGAGAAATGGAAAAAAACAATAAGCATACTCCAGGAAAATAGTATGCTTTAGTAAAAAGTAAATATGAAGCCGGTTTATAAGTAAGATGTTTGAATAAAAGGGTTCTTTACAATTAGGAATAGCATGGATAAAAATCCTCTGATTGGCTAATAAAATAAATAAAGACAATATAAAAATTGTCCAATCCAATTTTGGATCTTAATTTCATGAGATCAAAATTAAGATCCGAAATTAGATTGGATAATTTTTTAGATTGTTTGTATTATTTCTATTTATTTTTATTTAGCCAATCATAGGATTTTTAACCATGCTTTAGGCAATATAAAATTTCAAAATATTACTATTTTTTTCAAATTAAAAAATAACTAGATTAATATAACTAGATAACACTTACTATTAGCATGGCTACTAGAACAGCTACCCAAAAACCTAAAAATCTAAAGCCAATAACTTTGTATTGGTCTTAGAGCAGTTCCTAGAAAAGCATAATCTGATAGCAGACTCCACCCTAAAACAATTAAGCGAACATGCTTTTAAACTTAATGCTTTACTTCTTGATTGAATAGTCTGCAAGTATATTAAAGTTGTTCTTGTCAAGGTACTAATAACAGATGCTTATTTAGTGAAGAGCAAATAGAGGCTCTCTTACCAAATAAAAGAAAAGAAAAACTCACTATAGAGAAAAGAGCAAATTGTTTCTCTAAAATTGGTGATGCTATGGATATTTTCGCTCATCATTTAGATTTAGACTCGAAAATGACTATGAAAATAAAATAGTCACCAGTGGTTTGCATCAGTCACAATTTTATGTGAAGTTAGTAGAAGGTAGAGTAAGTTCTAAAATTATTAATACTTATGCTAAAAATTCAGAATTTATTCAAGAGTCTAAAAAAAGCGAACTAAGAAATGAATAGCTAATCCGGATAGAATTCTCATATATTTCTCCTTAGCAAATATAAGTAAAAGAATTCCAGAATATAGATGTTTCTAAAATTCTATCTAGAGAAGATCTTGTAAATGTGATTGTGATGTTGAATATGAGACTTGAGAAGTAAGGTCTCTTCAGATTAATCACTATAAACCAGATTTTTTGAATATTCCAGTATAGTATAAAAAAAGGTTATCCTTGATATTATACAGGCTATTTAAAAAGTAAAGAAGAAAAAAAGAAGAATCCTAAGCCTCAACTATTTTTTTTCATGAAGAAAAATCTAGAACATGCAAAAGAATTGCTTATCTGGATTCAAGATGCAATTAAGGCTAAAAAGTTATCTGACTCTGTCTTTACAAAATGTGGAACATGTAATGCTTGGCTATTTAATGAGTTTTTAAAACAAGAACTTTATAAAACTATACCTAAAAAATCAAGAGATTATGAAAATAAACATGCTTCCAGAATCCATAGTGGTAAGAAACTAACACCCCAACATTTTAAACTGCTTTCGAGAATCACAATAAGGCAAGAATCAGACTGCCTTAATGCAGGTGATAATTATGCTATAGGTAATACAGAATCAGAAAAGTCTGTCCCCAAACCAGAGACAAGCAACAGTCTAAAACTCTAAACACAGGTTTCTTCATCATCTCAAACAATAGAAATAAATTCAATATTAGCTGAAATTAATACAATATTAGCTAAAATTTAAAAATAAATACCAAAAGGCAGATCAGAAGTGATCTCTAATTTAGAGAATTTTCGCTAGGCTCTCATGTATGTGAGACTTAAATTGTCTACCATTTTCCTAATGCTATTCTTGAGGTTGACCATGGGTTAGTATATTTTTATATTGATATTTTTTTTTTTCTTATAAATTGGCAATAACGAAGTGAAATAAAAATCTATGAAATATATACTCACCTTTTCTTTACTAATTATTCACGATTGCCAATAGATCGATTAGTCCTCAGTTCATACTAAATAATTCATGAATAAATAGATCACCAAATCTGAAATTGTTTTTTTAATCTGCAAATTAGTTTTGTTAGTCATGAAAGTGTATAATAAATAAAAATAAGCAAAGTATATAATTAATCACAATACTTATTCATCTATAACTCTTTATACCATATTCTAATTCTCACCCTAAAAATTTTTATCTTTGAATATGTTTACTAATCCAATTCTGAAAAATATTTCATATCTCAAAACTCTCATATTGAATATTCTTAAGAATAGCTCACCAGATACTATTACAAAAAATAATGGAGTTCCAAAGCTAGAACCATGCTCAAAGTGTAAAGAAGAGCTTTTTTTATACAAACTTAAAAAACTATTTACTATACTCATCTGTGAATATATATACCACTGTAGTTGTTTTAAGAATTATGTAAAAGATCACCCACAATACCCTAAATGTGCAATAGAAATTGAATCTATTGATTATGTGTATTTTGACACTTCTGAACAAAGTACCTTGGACCTAATGCAAATTTTGCCACAAATAGCACAAATAGCATCCGATCAGAGCCAAAATATAGTAACCTCAGATACAACACATATTTCTAACACCACCTTATTAGATTCCTTATTAATTCCAGACTATATAAAACAAATCCAAACTGTTAAACCAAAATCTAAAAAAAGATTATGTGAAAAAGATATAAAAAAAGAACCTACAAATCTAAAAAAATTAATTGATGAGTTGACTACTAAAAATTTAGATTCTACAGAAAATATTATTACATAGTCAAGTTCAGCACCTACTGGTAAAAATAATCCTGAGTTAGTTAATTTTCTTAATTTATATTGCCGGATTGTAAAAGCTAAAGATGGTAGTAAAAAAGCTATTCAAGATGTTATTAGAGCCTATTATAATTTTGGTCATGATATTAAAAAACGTCTTAAATACCA